AGTCACACCCACGCACAGGGTCACACACAGAATTACACAGTCACACACGCATCGCCCTACAGTCCTGCCAGTGCCCCTCTCTCAGCCATTAGTCCCCCCACCCCTCAGGAGTCTGGGAATCCCCTGGCGCTGTCAGAGCCTCAGTCTTGTAGCCAGGGTCCCGGGCACCTGGTCTCCTGGGGCACTTTCCCACATGAGAGCAGGGGAGGACAGCCCCCAGCTGGGTCCTGCCTCTGCTCCCCCATGGCCAGGTGTCTGACGACCTCCTTTTCCTCCCACAGGAGCTACGGGGAGCTCACGGACTGCACCCAGCACGTGGCAGTCAAGATGGGCTGCTTCTGGCCCAACGCGGAGGTGGACAAGTTCTTCATCGCTGTCCACCGGCACTACTTCAAACAATGTCCCACCTCCGGCAGGACCTTGCTGGAGCCGCCCCACACCATCCTCTGCCCCTTCGTCGTGCTCCCCATCGTGGTGACGCTGCTGATGACATCGCTGGTGGTCTGGAAGACCAAACGACCGGACACCACGTACGTGTAGGTGGCAGCCACAGGGCAACAGCCGGGAAGGCCGGGCCCCTTCCCGCCCGCACCCCGCACCCTTCCCTTGCCAAAAAGAGCCGTAGGCGTTTCCTAGCAATCGTGGCTCCCCCAGCCCCCCACCCTCTCCCCGGTTTGCCAGACCTGCTTGTGGCATAGCGCAGCTCTCCTAGCACCCCACTCCCCGACCCCAGTTTGCCAGACCTGCTTACCCTGTAGATGTCTGTGGATGAGAAGTGTGTGATTAAAGGACATTCTTGAACTTGGGCAGTGTTGTTGTTTGTGGGTATCTGTCATCGGGCGTGGAAAGTGGGAGAAGCTAAGCTCCTGCAGGTTCCGTGTCCTCCCTGGACCAGTGAGGTCGCAGAAGGCACCGAAGCTGCCCCGTGGGGTCTGGTGCCCCCACCACCCACACAGTCTGGAGCCTCTGGCTCAGGGCAGGGGTCAGGTCAGGCCAGGCATCCAGGGGTCCAGGTACACGTGCCTGTCCCCAGCTGTGGCCTCTGTGCCCATGCCCACCTAGGCGATTGCTACCACCCTCACCCACACTACTTCCCAACCTCCCACTTTCAGCTGGGCTTCCAGAGGTTCTGGATCCCCAAAGGGAACCCCAGACCCCATCTGATGTCCTCTGAGTTCAGACCCCTCCTGGTAGGCCCTGCCCTCTCATCCAGATGACTGGCTGGCCAGTTGTCCACCCACCCCAGGGATCAGCCCCTCCCACTGCCCCAGAGGACAGCAGGGTCTGAACTGGGCATTCCAGTGCCAAGGCCTTGTATCTGTTCAGCTTTAGCACACCACAGCCAGCCACGTGGGGTCACCCACTGTTCAGCCCCAGCCAGACTGCCCTCCTTCCAGGAAGGGCCCTGAGCCTCCCCAGGTGTCCTCCAATAGCTGCTCCCCAAGGGTGCACCCACCACAGGCAGCCCCCGCCTCCCAGCCCAACCCAGTCCAAGGAGCTGCCGCTGCCCTAGAGGAGCAGAGGGGCCCTCTGGGCTGAGCCATGTGGTGTGGCTGCTGTCCCCAAGACAAGTCCTGGACTAGGTCAGGAGAGAGTTTGCTAATGGTGGAGTGACAGACTCAAGAGTTAATCCCCAGGGATTCCAGTGTCCACATCTAGTCCCAGGCCCTGGTCAGGCCTCCATGCTAGAGCTGGCTTCCTCTAATTCTACCACATGGCCACCTAAGAGTGGAGAAGCAAAGGGTCCCCACAGGCTAGTGGCTCTTAGCCATGTGGAAATAATAAGTACAACGACAAGCATAGCATGGCATTGACAGTGAGCCTGGCCCTGTGCTACAGACCTGTGTCCTCCGAGCTCCCAGGGCAGCCTGGTGAGGAGGTCCTGTCAGTGTCCCCATTTTGCAGAAGAGGAAAAGTGAGTTCAAGGTACTTGCCCAAGCCATCTAAGGAATCCTTTTGAAAAATAAAATTCACTGAGAAACCCCAGTACACAGGGCAGATGAAGGCCAGGAGGAGACCCAGAATGCTACCTCCACTTTCTCCACTCCTGCCTGTACCAAACTGGAAGGCCAGGCCTTGCCCATGTGTCCACAGGAGACCTTTCTGGAGATGCCCCAGTCAGTGAGACAGGAAGAGTGGGGGTGGGGAGGAGGAGCTCCTCAGGGGAACTTGACCTGGGGGAGGGGTACTCTAGCAGCTCTAGGGGCCAGGCCGCAGCCAGGTGGCTGGGCAGGCCTGGGAGCTTCAAAGGGAGCTCCCTCGAAGGGGACTTGGGAAGAGTGATTTACTGGAAGTTACCACTAAAGCAGAACCGTGGGCGCTTGGCCCACAGGTCCACGAAGCCAGAGTCTTCAGCAAATGCCTACGGAACTAATTACAGGAGTCTAACAAGGCTAGGCTGGAGCCATCCTCATACCTGTGCGCACCTGTCACCTCTGCTCTCGGTGGACAGTGATGTGTGATCTGGTAGGAGTAAGTGTGCAGAAACAGCAACATTCAAGTAGGTACTGTCCCTGCAGTGTCCTATGGCCTGGTCAAAGCACAGAGTTTAATGTGTTAAAGTTGTATCTGCTTTGCTGTTGGTTGGGCGTGGGGTGGGCTGCTTTCTGGAAATGGCCCTCCTATCTTTTCCAAGTGGCCACTCACATCTGCCGTACCATTGACCTGATTAGGGACAGAAGGTTTCTCAGTAGTGGTTAAGGAAAGTCACCTTTTCTAGCATACCAGGATGCTTGTCTTAACTAGGCCAACTATCCAGACAGCAAGGCAAAGGGGAAAAATGTAAAAGAAAGTTCCAGAGAGGTGCTTGCAGAATCAGCCAGCAAGGGCAGTGGGGGAGGCAGCCTAGGCCTGCTCCCGAGGGCAAGAGATGGGGGGAGCTGCAACAGCAACAACAAGTAACTAACTCCCCCTTTCCTCTCTCTCTCTTTTTTTCTTTTTCTTAAGGAAAGGCACAGTCACATGTATGGTGCAGAAGGGCCAAAGAACTCCTAATGCTTACAGTAGCCCCTGCACACGGTGGGTGTTCAAAAAGGATTAGTGAATTCACTAACTGTAATTAATGACTCAGTGCACAGCACTTCAGCAGCTGGTCCCCTATCGTTAGAAACGTAGCTTCTTAGCAATTTCCCCCGATTTCTTCTCATGCCGAATGGTACGTAAAAGCAGCCTCTTTTGTGATAGAAGTACATTGTCAAGCATACAGGAAAACAAACCAAAAGCCTGAATTCCTGCCACTCAGATAATTTTTAACATACATTTTTGCATGTAGTGTTCCAAACTTTATGCTTAGGTACATAGATGATAGATTTGAAAAAATAGGCTCATGCTGTTTTATAAATGACTTTCAATTAAAAAAATTATAAAAATGAATACACAGTTTTTATAAGCTTCTAAGGGCAAGGATTTTGTCTGTTTTGTTCATAACAATTTATAAATAACTCTTTGATGTGCATTCCCTTAAAAAAATGTTTAGAAACAGAATGTTTAGGCCAAAGAGATCCTTAAGCTCTGTGTAAATATTGCCCGACCCTTGTGCGTGTTTGCACCAGCTCCACTTGCCAGCATCAGTTCCAGTTTCTACTTACACTTTTGCTAAAACCAGGTATTATCTCTTCTCTTAAGTCAAACAAAACTTTAAACTGTTGGATAAGGAAAAAATGCTCTTTTGGTGGGATATGGTGGCTCATGCCTGTAATCCCAGCAGTTTGGGAGGCCAAGATGGGAGGACCACTTGAGGCTTGGGCAATATAGCAAGACCCTGTCTTTACAATAAAAAAAATTAGCTGCATGTGGCAGTGTGCACCTGTAGTCCCAGCTACTCTGGAGGCTGAGGCAGGAGGATTCCTTGAGCCCAGGAGTTCAAGGCTGCAGTGAACTAAGATGACACCACTGTCTTCACAGGGCAACAGAATGAGACCCTGTCTCTAAATAAATAAAAAGGTCTCAACAGCTGTTCTCCCTACACACATCTGATTAAAACAAAGAGGACTTTTTCTCCATGGGTGTGGTCCATGGGAATCTCTCTGGCCGATTATCGCACTGGTCTGTGCCTGTTGTTTACAAACTATGGCTGCCCTCACAGCAGCAGTCTGCCCACACACGCAGGGTGTATGCATACTTCCAGGAACATGTTTTATGCATAAGATACCTCTATTTTCTTTACTATTTTTGCATATATATTAATAAGTGAGTCTGTATGGGTTTTTGTAGGGGGCTATCCCTTTTTATCAGGATTATGAGAGTTGCCAGATTTGTGTCATTTTGTAAAATGAATTGGAAAACTTCCATCTGTGCCCTGAGTGGTTTATAGAGCATGAGAAATGTGGAGAAGGAAAGTGGAAACACTTGATAGATGTAAGGAGAGATGCCCTGCTTCGAGGGGACCAGGGAAATGCAAAGTAAAATCACAGAAACCATTCTCTGTATATTATGTTAGCAAAATTTTTAAATAATGATAAAACCAGCTTGGCACCCATAGCTCAGTGAGTAGGGCGCCGGCCTTGTAACACGGAGGCTGGCGGAGTTTGAGCCCAGCCAGGCCCTGCTAAACAACAATAATAACTGCAACCAAAAAATAGCAAGATGTTGTACTGGGCACCTGTAGTCCCAGCTACTCAGGAGCCTGAGGCAAGAGAATTGCTTAAGCCCGAGAGTTTGAGATTGCTGTATGCTGTGATACCATGACACTCTACCAAGGGGGGACATAGTGAGACTCTGTCTCAAAAAAAAAAAATAATAAAACACATTATGACAGCAGTAACAGAAATGCAAAGAACCATGGCCTTGGTCAGGCACAGTGTCTCACACCTGTAATCCCAGCACTCTGGGAGGCCAAGGTGGTGGATCACCTGAGCTCAGGAGTTCGAGACCAGCCAGAGTGAGATCCCATCTCTACTAAAGTAGAAAAACTAGCTGGGCCTTTTAGCACCTGTAGTCCCAGCTACTCAGGAGGCTGAGGCAAGTGGATTGCTTGAGCCCAGGAATGTGAGGTTGCTGTGAGCTATGATGACACCACAGGACTTTATCCAAGGTGACAGAGTAAGACTGTCTAAAAAAAAAAAAAAGTATAGCCTTTGGGGAGGCCAAATGTCCAGAAACTATGAAACTTTTAAATTCCCATTCCTTTTGGCCCAGTTGTGCCTCCTGTAGGAATCCATCCTATATGAATTATTGCGAGGAAAAAGTCCCACAGTGTTCACTGATGCATTTATGGAAATAGAGAAAAACTGGAAATGACCCAACATTTCAGTGAGGCGGTGGTGAAGGAACTGTGGTGAGTCACTGTGGCACAGCCCCTGGAGGGAGAGTATGTTGCCAATGAAATAACGGAGTGATTCTGGGGGCCTTTCCTGAGGGAGGAGGATGTCCTTGCTCAGTGAAAACAAGGTAGCCCCAGAACAGTGCACAAGGGGCCGACTACATATTGGCAACCAATGAGAGCAGGCTCAGAAGGCTCCACAGCACCTGCTTACCTTCAAGGCTGGTGCAGTTGAAATGGACCCAGGCAAGGAGACCGGCCACACTGAGCCCCGAGTGCTCACTGCAGATGGAGGTTTTTAATGACCATAACTTTTTAACTTTACTGTAAGTTTAAATAAGACAATAAAGCATCTAATGTAGAACCCAGGAAACACGTGCATGAGATCAGAAACTGCCCAGTCTAAATGGAGTTCCCTTTCACTCTCTTCCTGGGCTGTTGATACATCCAAGTTTTCTGAGTTTCCTTGCTCATTTTTGCTCCTCTACTTTTTGCTATTTCCCAGATAATCATTCCATTTTAATTTTTTTTTGTAAAATATAATAA